TACTACAAACAGATGAACGAGCGGGGCGGCGGCCACAAGCAGCGCGTTTTCAAGCAGATCAATCGGGATCAGGCCAAGAAGTTTATGCGTTAATGCTTTAGCCGTAATTTTAAAATCATGTGTTTTTTATATAGGTATACAAGAATATAAATATATACCATAATATATACATACATATATAATGTAGAGAGAGATTGCATGACTCTGGCTTCATTTCACAAATAATTCAACCCAAAAGGCGTTGCAACGCCCACACGGATGTGCCGGATGCCTTATTTGTGCACGGTTTGTTTCTCATATATTTTTATTGTGTCGGGCAGACTTTAACAAAGTATTTGGCAAGCTGTGCCGAATATGGCCAATGCGATTTTTCTTGTTTTTTGTTTTTGAAAGTATATTAAATTGTTCCAGTTTATTCAGCGCTCAGTGGAGCTCAAACTGTGACAGTTTGGCAGCCCCGTTCCGTCCAGGCCTTTACCAATTGCGCAACGTTCAGTGCGTCGTCTTGTTGGCGCCCACAGCGAATGCGGCCATCAATTGAAATAGCATTGAAGAGCTGTAAACAATTTTCTAATAAAACTCGTTTAACCCACGACACCCGCTTCACCCAGGCTGAGCCAATCGCTGTCCAAAAGACGGCATCAAGAAATTAATGCGCTGCCTAATCGAAGCAGCCGGTCAGACAGACAGACAGCCAGAAAGCCAGCAACAAATTAATACTAGTTTTTATATTCCGTTCAAGCCTGGGCGTGGGCGACAAAACTGCCTGCGAGGCAGCACTTGCCACAGCTAAGCCAGCCAAGCAGAGCTTGTGAATGAAGTCGGCTAATGCTCATGCTAATGCTAATGCTGATGCTGGAGCTAGTAGCAGTCGAGAAGCTTCATTCATGAATGCACAAATACCGCCAGCATGCTAAATGAAGGGGCCTCTGCTGCAGCTACACGACTCGCAGATACCCTGTAAATATCCCAATTTTCGATAAACAAAATTTCTGAGTACTTCAGGCCATTTGTGGATTACTCATTTAACATTTTTTTACTTAGAGTAAACTGTAAGCATTTTCAGAAAGTTTAGCTGCCAAAACTTTTACTTCAAGTTGGGTTGAGTTGAAAAGTTTGAACGTGAAGTTTGAATCTGTGTTTTCTTTGTTGGCAGGGGAATGAATAGGTTAAAAGTCTATTGTACAAGTTTGTAAGAGATACTTAAACTCGGTCAATGAGATTGTCATTAGTATATAAAATAGCAGATTACATTTATATTGAAAAGCCTGGCACCAAAATCCTTCAGGAAATATATCTTGAAAATGACACGATCTATTTTCATAGCTTCTTGATCTCTCTTTCTATTATTTTATATGTCTGGCTCTAATTCACTATATATCCCTCTCTCTTTCTCTCCCTCTTTTTTATTTTTGTCCTATTTTGGCTCTTAAGCACACTTTCATCACATACTCCATTTAAGTGTTCTGCACTTATATACCTTTTTAAATGCATTGCAATAAGTACAGGGTATAAAATCCAACTATCTTTTATGAATGAAAAGTCAGGTGTTTTAACTTGTTGCTGCTCTCGTTGCTTTAATAAAATTAGTATTTAGTAATAAAAAAGCTAATTAATAAATCGATAAAATTTAATACAGATTTTCAGATTAAAATTTTATAGTAATTTGCAATAATTAAAAATCTACTACATCTATATATGATACATAAATAAATATATCTATAAGCAATGCCTATGTTAATAATATCATCAACCAGGTTTCGCATACATCTATGAGTCGTCTGCCTGGCCAAGTTAACAATATCATCAACAGGCGTTATCTAAACGCCTCTGATTCATTAGTTGATTACTCTTCAGTGAACATCTCATTCATAGTCAGCCAGTTGAAAATTTAAAAGCTCAACTCTTGGCAGTTGACAGGTGAGCATAGTGTGTGTGTGTGTGTGTGTATATATGTGTGTGGGTGTAGTGGCTTGTTTCATTTGGCTCACTCAATGCTGGCGCCCACGCAACAGTTGTTCGCGTAATAAAAACCCCAATAGAGGCGAGTTGCGCTTTTAGCTAACATGCCGCTACTAATTATACAAAGTCATAGATGTGGCATGGCGGGCGTACCTGTCATACTGTGCGTCCCATAGAGCAGGTGCATCACTTAATGCGGACAGCATCCATGCAGCAGTCCTCAGTCCAGGGATAGGCCTACAACGTGTGCATGCATTATGAAGGCCCTGAAATATGGCCACTGAGGCGAGCCATTGCCAAATTAAGTGATACAGTGGGCAAAATGGCAAAATATATTTACATATGTACATACATCTACAATGTAGATAAGTAAACATATATGTAAATAAAATAATATCACAATATCTAGGAATATAGAATTCAATACAGATTCATTCATTGAAACATCAATAATTACTTTTATCTATAATTTATTCTATAAAATGCAACCTTTCTACCTACATATGTACATAAAAATACTGTAAAATCTTGAAAACTTAATTTCCATTTGTAAAATAAAACTTGAAAAAATTTCATTGATAGACACTATTTTGATAGGATTGGATAACAAACGTCTGCCATAAAAAACACACAAAATTTGTATTTTTTTTTTTTAAATTGATATTGAATGATTATGTGAAAAAATACATTAGATAGATATTAACGAGTGTATTGAAAAAGTACAAAATTTAGATTTAGTTGAATACAACAAAATTAATCGTTAAATTAATTCGATTAAGACTGAAACTTAAAAATTTTAGAATTATATGAACAACTCAAATATACTTTACTTTCCTATCGGATTCAAGGATAGAATATTTAACTTGGATATATATTACTACATTACTAAATTTGTTCATTAAGAAGTTCTTCTTGCATGCATGAATTGACTACTGTGTAAATCATATTCATGCGACTCAACTAGAATCGTGTGTCGACCATGTTTGCGGTTTCGATTCATTCAATCCGTGCTGACGCCCACGCAACAGTTGTTGGCTTAATGAAAAGGCTAATAGAGTCCGGTTGCCTTTCAATAAGCATACCAGTAATAATTATACAAAGCGTGTGCACACAGACAGCAAGTGCATCATTTTGTCAGCAGCGGTAGCAGGAGCAGATGGAGCAACAGCCACACGCACACCCGCAGCAGCCACCCATTAGGTCACAATAGGCACAAAAAGTGGGCATGCATAAGGGAGGAGGCTGGACGATTGGGATGCTGCACATCAAGTTGAGTGTGAAATATGGCCACTGACGTGTGCTGTGGGCAATTCAGCGCACAGTGGACTGAAACTGATGAAAATGATATGAATTTGTATGGTGCTGAGAAGATATTTATTAATATATACAATTATATTTATATTCATAATTATAATTTGAGTTTGTTTCATTCTTATACATCGTTATTACCATTGCACATTTCGTGTCGAGCTTTCTCGCACATTTGCCACACTGTGCACTGTGAGCTCTTCTATTGAAGCGTAAGACTGCGTAAAACGTTGTTAACTCTGCCTCTGGGCTTTTAGCCCCGGCTAGCCTAGAGTAACTGGAATATTTGATCTGCATTTTAAATGCAATTTTGTTCGCATGCGAAATCTAATAACTCAAGCCAAAGTGCATGGCTTGGGCTGAGGCTTGGCTAACGTGTGTGGCTCTTTCACAGTTTCGTGTGGCAATCAGTGTCAGTGACGAAATCGTCATGCAACATTTGTTCAAAATGGAAAGTGCTACCAGAAATGGCCTACACGCAAAGCCCTGAAGCTTAGCAGCCCACGAATGAAATGATGTGTTGCTTTTTTAACCAACTTGTTTATCTCAGAGGATCTACATATTATATGTTTGTGTGCGTTTGTATGTGTGTGTTTGGGTGTGTGGGTGTCAACATCAAAATAGGCTTTGCTGGGCATTAAATCGAACAACCATAATAATACAATGCCTAAATCTCTGACACATATTCAATGGCAATAAAATGTATAAATGTGACTGTATGTATGCGTATATATATATATAGATATCAGTTTGATCGGCCTACACACTCGCACACACATGACCATGCCAAGGTGCACCACAGCGAGTGGTTGGCCAGGTCGATGGTGGGCGCCTGCTTTCCACTTCCATTGATTGAAAACTTTCACGTCTCTTTTTAAGTGCATGCGGGTGCTGTGTATGTGTAAAGCGGTCGCTGTTGCTGATGGCTTTTTGCGGAATACACGGAAGCCAGGCGTAAAGAAAAAATTGAAAAAAAAAAAAAAAACGTACTGAAATGCCTAGCACTGAAACGCATTTGCAATGGAAAGTAAAAGTTGTTGCTGTCCAGGGACACTTATATGGTGCGTCGCTGGCATCGCATGCGAATTCCAATTTTCCCACATACATTTTAACTATTTTGAGCATTTTGGCTCAAAGGCAAGTTTTAACACCAACATTTGGCATTTTGGCCCGGCCAATTTCCATTTGGTACGTTTGGTAATTTGCATAGGCTTTTGGCCAAATGCCCACATATCTAACAAAGCGCTGTAGTTGATTCTAAGCGATCACAGTCGTTGCCTTCTAACAATTTCCGTACGTAATTAATGCCTCCGCTCTCAGAGTGTTTTCATAATTCAAACTGACGCCAACGCGCCAAATGGGCTTAACAAGCGAGTGCGAGAGAGATGGCTGCTGTTAACAGTGCATGATTGATAGATTTAGCGCTGCCACCTAACACACTATTATTTGTAATAATGCTCCCGATCCATTTCTCGCTCATCAAAAGCCCTAAGATGAACAGGAATATATTTTATTTAAGCAATTTCAATGTATTTAGTTCTATATTTATTGAAAACTTGTAATTTTAAGCAATATTTCTCAGTTAAAACGAACAGCTGCGCAGCGTGTTAACTGTGGCAACGCTGTTAAACGATCTTCACTGCTGTTAAGTCGCTGTTATACTCAAAATGGCATGCTGGTTCTCCTCATTTCATTTTCTTCGTCAATACGCTTTGCGTTCAGTTTCTTTTTCTCTGTCTTTGCGTGCGGTTCAGTTTTAGAAGTAGGAAGAATCGTTCAAGTAGAGGCGAGATCCGTGCGTTTTCCTTTTACCCGACTCGAATACATTTTTAAATAAACAAATATATATATATATATATAAGAAAAGGAATTCTTTACTAGTTAATGAACGCAGTGTACAACAAATGCAAATGTATGCAAATTTGAAAACAATATTGATGTGAAACTGAAAGCAACAAACTCATAAAASGGGCAACAACAACAAATAAAACATAATCAGCAGCAACAGTAAACTGTGCATATTTCATGCGAAATTTTCAACTTTTTAGCTATAATCCAAATCATTGTTTGCTATTCTTTGCTACAATAAGCACGTCGAATATTCGACACTTGTGCAATTGTGCGTAGACTCATATATGGACTTCAAATTTCCTGCAAATAAGAAATATGTTAATTTGCATATAAAAAATAATTTCTTTTTGTTTTACTTCTTGGGGCTGCTGCAGCCACGGAATGAGAATAAGAGAGGGAGCGCGAAAGAGAGCGAACAAATAAGCAGCTATTTTGACATTCTGCTTTCATTCATCTCCGTTGCTCACGATTACGCTCACAAACACAAACACATGCATAAACTCACACAAATTAAGTGTCTCTACGTGTGGGTACTGTTTGTGTGTGTGTCTGGCAAAACGTAGACGGCGACTGCGCCGTTTGTCTTCTCTTCTTCTTGCCGATCACCGATCTGAAGCAGCCGCGCTGCTGCGTTGAGGAATTTTTTCAGTCTTCATTTTAGACTTGCTCTCTCTCTCGCGCGCTCTCCCTCTCTGGCTGTTTCTGTGCTGCTGATGTTGTTGTTGTGTTTTCGTTTTGTTTCTCTCGAAAATCTCAAACTTTTTTGGGTGGAGTTGTTTTTAATCTGTTTCTGTTATTATTGAAAATTCAACTTGTAACAAAATAAAATTGTGTTTATTCCATTTTGCAGTAACATTGAAACATTCAAAAGCAATAAGATATCAAAGAGTGTTAAAGCAACAAATATATAATAGCCTTTTGTTTAGCAATTGTGCAATACCCGAAAACCCGAACATAGAGAAACAGTCGAAAGAGTTAAATACGCATCATAAAAGAATCTCGGCAACAAAAAAATATATTAAAAGAGCATTGTGCAACTAAGTAAACAATTGTAAAAGCTTAAACAAAACACGCTCACCCACACACATATAGAAATATATACACATACTACAACAAAATGAGTGTCTGTGAGAACAAGACCGTTGTGCAACAGCAATTGCAACAACAGGCCGCCGCTGCCGTTGCGGCCGCCGCAGCCGCTGCCGTTGCTCAGCAGCAGCAACAGCAACAACAACAGCCCACGCAAGTGGTGCCACAGCCGCAGCACATGACGCCCCARCAACAACAACAGAGCACACAAAGCATTGCCGACTATTTGGCACAATTGCTGAAGGATCGCAAACAGTTGGCCGCATTTCCCAATGTCTTCACGCATGTGGAGCGACTGCTGGACGAAGGTAAGTTATATTACAACGGATAAATACATATATAATTATTTGAATTTAAAAATACTACGAGTCGAACTGTATGATCTAAGAACTTGAGTGGATCTTCAGTATTTATTCCTTATTTAGTTATATATTTACATATGTATATATATTATAGGTCCAGATCGGTTTTACTCCAATAAGCGCAACTTTGTTGCTCTCTCTCTCTTTCTATATTTAAAGTCGCCTCTGTGCCCTGATCTTGAGTTCATTCCACCTTGCCGGAGAGCCCAAAGTCAACGCTGCCAACGTAGCAGCCGCAGTCGCAGTCGACGTCAGTTGTTTGTTATTTTTAGTTATTTCCTTTTTGTGTTCGCGTTCGTTTCTGTCTGCATGCTCTCTTGGTCGCTCTTTGAAGAGTCCACTCTTGTCTCTTGTTTTCGCTGTTGTTTGTTATGTTGTTGCTTACATCTTCGTTAGCTTGCAACGGGACCCCCGCTTGTTTGAGAAGATGCAACACAGTTGCAGCAGCCTTGATCACTTCCGAGTGTTCCGAGTGTAGCTGTATCTGTATTCGTATCTGAATGTGCAACTGTATTTGAATGAGGCGCGCCTGTTTAAACATATCGCCTGACTGAGTGCCTCAGCCACATGCCCACGCCTTTGCCTCGGCAAATAGTCTCAAGAAAATTAACAATGAGCGCCGAAAAATCAAGACAACGACAAACAACAAGAGCAGCCGCTGGGGGCGTGGCACACGCATACAGGATCACACAAAACATAACTGTGCGACGACTACCTGAATGCTCACAGCTTGTCAGTGTTGCCAAGTGCACTAATTTCTCGTTATATTTAGCGGTTTTAGCTTGAACTGAAAGTCTATTAGTTTGTCTTAAATCAATTTATATTTAAATTAGTTAAATTCAATTAAATTTGAACTAGTAATTAATTATCACTTTTCGAGCTGATAAAGTACTTTAAGTTAATGTTAAGTAAATTAAATTAAATTTAAATTTAATTAACATTACAGTGATTTGTGAAAAGTAAATGAAATTTCGCATGTAGTTCAAAGCATTTTCTAACGCAATTCAAACCAAAATCGAGTACATTTATACAAATACTTAAAGCATATCAATTAGCAGTTTGAATAAATTCCGTCATATACATATAAAAAACAAAAGAACTATGAAAATCGATATCTTATATAAATAGAAATCACATATCTTGTTACCTTTGTAACCCACCCACCTTTCTAGCTAGCTTCATTTGTTGATTCTCATAAGTTGGCAACGCTGCAGCTCGTTTTCTCAAATCGCAATCGCTTGCTTTGGTTTCAATTTGTTGCTGTTGTTGTTTTTGTTTGCCCAACATCTGTTGGCCATATGCATATATGTATATGTGTGTCGTATGTGTCGCCTCTTGGTAATGACAAAATTATGTTGCACAGATACAGATACAGCCACAGATACGTAGATACTCGCAGCACTGCAAACTAGTTTTGTTTTTGTGTCTACAAATTGTATTTGCCAAAAGCAAAGCGTTGACAATTTGTAAAACTCGTTGGACCAGCTACGAGAAAATGTGTTTTTTTCTTTCTTTTTAGGTTTTGGTTTTGTTTTTTACCTGCTTGCTGCTTACTGCGCGCTGCAGCCAACCACCCACCCGCCCGCTTATCAACAGCTGTGGGAGTGTGGGCGTGTGGCTTGAACTATTTGGCCAACTTATGGTCTCACACCCGGACATCGGACCTGGGCTGTGGGTCGCATTGTGAACGGCTAACGACTTTTCAACTTTTTGCCAGAAGTTTTTGGTTTTCGTTGGATTTTTTTTTTCATCGTTTTTTTACTGTCGTTTTTGGCTACTTTCTCTATTTTCAATTGCTGTCGTCGCATCGTTGTTGTTGTCGAGTTTGTGGCTGTGTGTCTGCTGCATGAATACGGGCTTACCGGACTTTCCTCGTTGTAAAAGGAATCCTGGTTAAGCATTCTTCAAATTGCAGTCTATGCGTATTATATCTAGATTTTTGCAGGAATTTTTCTTGTGTGCGCATCAGATTCAGCAGCTAGTTTACTCAAAAGGGATCGAAATATGATTTTATTATTATATGTGCCATTGAGATTGCTTTTTTCTCGATTTGATTATTTGTAAAAATGAATATTCGGAATCCCCTGCCATATAGAATATAGAATTCATAGCTGTTGCAACCTGTTGGCCGCTCATTTGAGCTGCACAAATCTGTTGAATGCGCCCCCCACGGTTATACCTCCACCCTCATATATACACACACACATACGCACACACATGTCGCATGAATATGTGAGCATTTGGCTTAGCTTTTGTTATTTTTCGCCTCTTACGTTTGCCTCTTTTACATTTAGATTCCTTATTTATTTCGTTTGCCGCTTGTTTTTATTGTCTTCATTCGCTCGTCGCTTTTGGCACTGCTGACATAAATTTCGTTGTTCACTTTTGTTGGGGGTAGTGACTCATGTCTAAAAAAAAAGAAAACAACAAAAAAATTAAAAAAAAAAAAAAAAATTAAGAAGCGAACAAGCAACAAAAAAAGTATAAAGCTGAAGAAGATATTGTTCACAGCGGCATCGGCGTTTATAATATCTGTATCTGTATCTGTATCTGCATTTGCATCTGTATCTGTATCTGTATCTGTATCTGTTAGATACAGATGACACATGCCGTCGAAGCACGTTTCTAGCGTATTTGTATCTTGATGCATGCCGAGCAATTTGCACAGTTGAAGTGTGCCTAGACTGTGGAAAGACGACGTCAACGACGACGGTGTGCACCGTGTGCTCGGGTTCGGATTACGGAGACGCAGTCCAAGCATAACTGCACGTAGTATCTGAGAGATGTGTATAAGGTATAAATATACTAAATATAAATCCGAGACTATCTTCCGCATGACGTCTGACGCTCTATAAGACTCATAAGCTGCAAGGCCTCTTCATCTGTATATCTATAGCTGTATCTGTATCTTTATCTGTGTATCTGTGTGTCTCTCTCTATCTGTATCTTCAAGTTGTAGCTGTATCTGCAGATGATTGTGTCCACATCAAAGGCGACGGTTCGCAGCTCTAATCAAATAATTATTTAAAGGTGTTTTTCTAGCCCACGCATTGGCCGAAATAAGCACAACAACAAMAACTCAGCTATCAGATATTCTGTTGTTGCTCTTTCTTTATATCTCGGGTACGCAACGCAGCGGCGGCGATCTTATAGATACACAAACTCTGTGTGTACCTTGCGTTGTGCATTTAAAAAGAAAGGAAAAAAAAAATCAAATTACGTACGGACTACACCCGCTATACGGACTAAAGCACAAATGTTTATACAGTCACAAAGCTATATATATTTATATATATAAATGTATACATATATGTAGACGAAAACTTATATGCACGTATGCTTCAGAATCATGTATATATACTTGGCATTTCTCTTTCAGATACATACACGCGGCTAGATTTTCAGCGCTCGACAGTTTTTGGTGTTGTTGTTGTTGTTGAAAAATTTGAAATGTGTTTCATTTCGTCTAAATTTAGATGATTGGAAATGGTTTCTAGCCTGTTGAGCGTCCGTCTTGTGGAATGCTCTGCCGTTCTCTATTTAAGCATTTTTAGGGCGTTGTTTGCGGATCGAACAGAATCAGTATTAACTTGGCTCCAAATGCAAACAAAGCAATGCTTAATTGCACTGCGATCGAACGCTTCATCAAATGCTGCGTAAACAAATTTAGTTCTCTTTTTTTTACGATTTACGATTTTTTTAATTAAAATTAAAAAAAAAAAAAAAAAAAAAAAAAAAAAATGAAACATTCATATCAGCACCAGCTGCGATCGTGGAAAGTGTTTCACTTGGCTAACAAAGTATGTTTTTTGCTTGATTAATTTTCTGCGGTTGCAGAAAGGAAAAATAACCGAAAGTGAGGTAACAAAAAAAAAAAAAAAAAAAATGAAGGAAAACAAATCAAGAGATATACAATGTGCGCAATGAGCTCTTTTGAATTTTAATTTAATATCAATACCAACCGGGCCCAGAGCCAATGCTTATATGCGAGTAGTTGGGCTGACGTTGTGCTCATAAATTTGTTGACAATTGTTATGCGGAACGCGTGGGCCCAGCTGGCAAACCCTCTACTCTATTCCCGCATTCTCTTATAGATTGAGGGAGGGAGAGGGAGTGAGACTGGGCACAGGGATGAGGGGAACAGGGTAACTGTGCACGTCGCATTGCGTTTTTTTTTTCAGATTCAATTAAAATCTTTTGTCATGGCGACCGTTGGTTGTTTTGATTTGATGTTGTTTACGTTTATGCGTTTTCATGTTGGCCAAGTCGCCATTATGGGCGCTACCAAAACAAGAGGCAGCCAAGCGTTTGCCCACTGCAATCGGAAGTTGACTATGGCCAGGAGCTGGCTGCATTTCATTTGATTGAACATTAAATAACTGTTCCGCAAAATGAAGCAATTGGCTAGGCGTATAAACAATGGCATTGTCTAAATTTATTATATGTTGAAAGGGCATTGATCGATGCTGATCGTTGATCACTGATCACTGATCACTGATCACTGATCAATGAACACTCAAACGTTGACAAGCGAAAGTTTGTGAGCTAAACTTTGCTGGTCTTAATGGTTGGCTGGCTGCGATAGGGAAAGTGGGCGGGGAAAATTCAAACTAACAATTTACGTTGCATATGATATCGAACGGTTATTTATAAATAATATAGGCGAATCTGTAAAATAACACACATTTAATGTAGAATAGGTGAATTATGTAAATATCTCTATAAGGACCTCCCCTCATCTGAACTCAAATTGGTTTTCATTATCAAAATATACAGCAATATGCAAATTAAGCATAGTTATTAGTTAAAAGCTCTTGCGCTGAGCATAGTACTTTAAACAGTCGCATTTCTTGTGTGTGCAAACATTTGCGAACCTTTTTGTTGAGTTTCGGTGTGGACTGGGCCACTCAATTAGCAAGTTTTTATTTATATTTTGCTTTAAGTTG